AATTCGTGGTCTCTATGCTGCCGGTGAAGTTATGGGAGGTGTCCATGGCAACAACCGTTTGGGCGGTAACTCGCTTCTCGATTGTGTTGTCTTCGGTCGCTTGACTGCTGACGATGCTTGTGAGGGTCTCCTTGGTCTCAAGAAGAGCGTCTCTCTGCCTGCTCTTGCTAAGGCACCTGCTAGCGTACCCAAGAAGGTTGCTCAAGCTAAGGTTGCTGCGGCTCCTGCTGCTCCTGTTGTACACGGTTACACTAAGGAGGAAGTCGCTAAGCACACCACTGAGAGTGATTGCTGGGTTATCATCAATGGCCAGGTCTTGAACGTAACGAACTTCCTTCCAGAACATCCTGGTGGAAAACTTGCCATCATGACCTTTGCAGGCAAAGATGCTAGTAAGGAGTTCAACATGATCCATCCATCTGATGTCATTGAGAAGTATGCCCCCGATTGTGTCCTCGGTCCTGTTGTTGACAAGGCTACTGCTGCTGCTGCTCCTGTTGCTCCGTCTACTGCTGCAGTGACGGTCACTCCGACAAATTCTGCTGCCGCTGGTAAGTCGTATACTATGGAAGAGATCTCGAAGCACAATTCCCGTGAATCTTGCTGGGTTGTGATCGATGGTGAGGTCTTGGATGTTACGGGTTTCTTGCCTGATCATCCTGGTGGAGATATCTCTATTCTCAACTATGGTGGTAAGGATGCCACTGAGCCCTTCCACGATATTCATCCTGCTGGTATCATCCAGAAGTACTGCCCTGACGCTGTCATCGGTGTCGTTGGAACCGGCTCAGCTGCCCCCTCAACTGTGTCTACGGCTCCTGCTTCTGCTCCAGCTCCCGCTGTCTCGGGGTACACTAAGGAAGAAGTGGCTAAGCATACCACCGAGAGTGATTGCTGGGTCATCATTAATGGCCAGGTCTTGAATGTAACGAACTTCCTCCCTGAACATCCTGGTGGAAAACTCGCTATTATGACTTTCGCGGGTAAGGATGCTACTAAGGAGTTCAACATGATCCATCCGGCTGATGTTATTGAGAAGTACGCTTCTGAGTGTGTTCTTGGTCCCGTTGTTGAGGCCAATTCTGCACCTGCTGTAGCAGCTACGAGTGCACCTGCTCCGGCTGCTCCTACTGCAGTAACGACCACTCCGACAACATCTGGTGCCGCTGGCAAGTCTTACACTATGGACGAGATCTCGAAGCATAACTCTCGCGAGTCCTGCTGGGTTGTGATTGATGGTGAGGTCTTGGATGTTACGGATTTCTTGCCTGATCATCCTGGTGGAGATATCTCTATTCTCAATTTCGGTGGCAGAGATGCTACTGGGCCTTTCCACGATATTCATCCTGCTGGTATCATCCAGAAATATTGTCCCGACGCTGTCATCGGTGTCGTTGGACCGGGCTCGCCGCCCCCTCGACTGCTTCTACGG